TGAATAAAATAAAATAAAATAAAATAAGAGAGTCCGATGGTTCAGTGAAAATTCTCGGATCTTCCGATTTTTTGGCCATAATTTTCGTTTCTCTTATTGGTCCGTTAATCCATTTGTTGTTTTTTGTTACTGTGTACGTGGGATGTCTTTTAATTTTTTTCTTATAGAAACATAGTAGACCGCTCGGATCGAAGTAAACTTAAATTCAAAGTTTCACAACAATACGTGCAGTGTTCTCGCTACAGTGAATTTTTAAGTGTCACAAGTCATTAGAAAAATAAATATTACAACTTTCAGAGACAATTATCGCAACAAGAATGCCTTGCTGAGTTACTGTCTGTTTTCGGCAACGAAGCGCCACATCAGTCGACAATTTCTCGGTGGTATGAAGAATTCAAACATGGACGGGTGATTCTTAGCGACGATCCCAGGGTGGGTGCACCAAAAACGGCAGTCACCCAGGAAAACGTCGATGCTATGTGCAAACTCATCATTGAAGATAGACATGTGACATATCGCGAGATTGAGGTGTTCTTGAAGATCCCAAGGACCTCAATTCAAAAAATTTTATATGAAGAATTACGATTAAGAAAATTAATTTCTCGTTGAATACCCCACCTGTTGACTGAAGAGCAGAAAGCAGCCAGGGTTAATTGGTGTCAGAAAACGCTTGACCGTTTCAATTTCGGAAACTCAAAAAACATGTACAGTATTGTTAGTGGTGATGAATCGTAGATTTGTTGTTATGAACCAGGAAATAAACGACAGTCGGCTGTTTGGGTATTCCAACGTGAAGAAAAGCCAACAAAAGTCATACATTCTCGAAGTGTTTCTAAAAAGATGGTCGCGACATTTGTGTCAAAAGCGGGTCATATTGCAACAATTCCTCTTAATGAGCAAAGAACTGTTACTGCGGATTGGTGTACCACCATTTTTTGCCAAATGTCATCACCGAGCTTCGAAAAGTCAACCCCGAAAGAAGAATCATCCTCCACCAAGACAATGCAAGCTCGCACACAGCCCAAAGAACAAGGCAGTATTTAACGGAAGAAAACGTGGAATTATTGGACCATCCTCCATATAGTCCCGATCTAAGTCTTAACGATGTCTTTACTTTTCCGAAAATTAATAACAGACTGCGTGGTCAAATGTTCCAGTCACCAGAAGAAGCAGTTGACGCATTCAAAAATGCCGTTTTGGATCTGCCAGCAAACGAGTGGAATAAGTGCTTCGAAAATTGGTTCGAGCGCATGCAGATGTGTATTAATCTTCGTGGAGAATACTTCGAAAAACAATAAAGTCATTTAAAACTACCTACCGTGTTGTTTTATTTCCATATGCAAAATTTAAAATACATCCCTCGTAATCTCAGCAACAGAGTTCAGTGAAACTGCACTGTAATATTTTTGAGAATGTATTGCTGATGGATTTTTTGCTCCTATCTTACAGTTCACAAAGAACGGAAAAATACGGAAGAAATGCTGGCGAACGGACTTGCAGCATGGGCGTTGAGCATGTTGCCGAGTCATTCCTCCATAGGTGACGCTAACAACCGGAGAAACAAGTTTTGTTCAAATTAAATTTGAAATAACTTTATAACATTTACATCAATTTAATTTTTTCGTGAAGTTGTAGGTAATTTCATTGTGATCGTTGTCGACTGCCGACCTTGCATAGAAATTTAAAATGATTTTTGTTATACAGGGTGTAACCAAAAGTGCATTTTGCCCTAAACTTCTGAACACCCTATGGAAGCATTGGAATACTGAATAATATGTCTTGTATGAAAATGTCAAGCTTCAAATTTTCTTTTTTTTTGCTTGATGTCAATATCTCAATCATTGAAGAATATATGCTGTTTTGAGGGAAATCATGCGAATCATAGCCAGAAGCAACTTAATTAAAAAAATTACAGTGACAACATTGGTAAGAAAACTATGCGAACCATAACCATGAACAATTTAACTTAAAAAATTACAGTGACACTATTGGTAATTGGAAATTATTATAAAAAACGAGTATTTCCTCTCCGGGCTTGAATAACAGCTCCCGTGTTCTCTGGCATAGACTCCATCAATCCAGCTATTGTGTTTTGTGGTATTTGCTCCCACTCGTTTACAAGCGCCTGTTCCAACGCAGCCACAGTTTGAAATTCTCCATAGTTCTGCCTAAGCCTTCTTCCTAATGTATCCCACATGTGCTCAACGGGGTCGAGATCTGGACTCCTTGGCGGCCAGTCTAGTATCTACTTGAATTCCAATATCGTTGTGGTATTGCCTAGTCATTGTGGCTATATGTGGCCGAGCATTACCTTGCATTAGGAGAACATTTTTTCCTATAAAGGTCAAATGAGGAACCACATGTTCTTCCAAACACCCTCTAATATACCTGTCGGCAACAAGTTCTGTGCGGGATTCCAAAGAAATACCGACATATACCATCACTCCTTGACCACTACTAAGTTGCACTCTAGGAGCGAAACAACTTTGAGCTTAGCGTTCTCCACGCCGTCTCCACACTATTTGACGACCATAAGGTGAATATCTCGTCAAAAGAGACTCATCTGTGAAAAGAACGTTTTTCCACTCGTCCATATCCCAATCTGCCTGAATTTGAGAGAATTACAAGCGCTGCCTTCGATTACCTACATCCAATAGAGAACCAGTTGCAGGTACACAAGATTTACGGTATCAGGTAAAACTATGGTACCATGAACATCATCCAATCTTCGAGTCAAAGCCGTTGGGGGAACTGTCCTTTCTTGAAGAGCTTGTAGTCTCAGAAACCGATCTTCAACTGCGTTTGTTACTTTCGTCTTCCATGCCCAAGTTTTCTTTGTATCGCATCGAATACCATACTGCGTGGAACGGCAAGCCTTTCTGCGATATACCGAATAGGACGACCATCATCTTGTAAAGCTACAGCTTGCGCTACTTGTTCCGGTGTCATTTTTGTTAAGTATTGCTTGACAAGAATCTTTTTTCTTCAAAACAGCATATCGTCGGCTTAAGATGCAAATGACCTAACACCAAAATCCGAAATTGTTGAGGAGATACAAAAAACTTCACAGAAAAAAAGAATTAGTAAAACAAAATTAGTTTCCAGAAGATTTTATTTTTATTTATTGCTAGATACGAGAAAATAATGGTGATTTTCAAAATTAGGTTTTATTTGTAAAAAATTGGGAGTTAGAAGATTTGCGTTCTCTATGCATGGTGCTACAAGCAAGAGATAGGCAACTGCCTGATATATTGTGCAACTTAAATTATTTATAAAACTAAGCTTTAAAGAAGCAAAAAAGACAAAGAAAGAAGCATTTTACAAATGTGGTAAATTATCATAAAAATAATGAAAGTCCTTAAGAATAGAAGATTTAAGGTACATTAAATGTTTAAACTTTTCGGATTTGATTGGTATGGGAGTCGGATACATCAACGGCAACTCTTCTAAATTCCAGATGTTTTTATCTTTTTTCTTCATTCTAAACGGTAAAGGTGTCCATTCCTCTGTATGCCTGATTTTTGAATAAAATTCCGTTTTCATTGTATTGAAGTGCTCTGATATCTGTGACACTCGGATCACCTGCCGTTCTGCCAGGACGGATGGAACTAATGTATTGAACTTCTTGGAAGTTTTTAAAATAAGTATGATTCAAGTACTCCACCTGGTAGGGTTTCGGATTTATACGAGCAGTTTGACAAACATTCCCATAATCTGCTGGTACATTTATAACCTTATTTTTTAGTTTCCGCTCGATTGTAGAGTGCATTGAATCGCACTCCATTTGCGTATGTCCTTTTTCTAGAAATTTTTGTTCAATTGTAATCCCATAATTTTGTGCGAAATTGAAAAGTGCATTGGAAAGAATTGCATATCTGTTTTGACCAGTACATCCATCACTGTACAAAATCACTTTACTGAAGGAGTCTTTTTGGGGTACAATATTAGTCTCTAAAAACTTGTAAATGATGGTCGCAAATGTGTTGGCACTTAGTCCAGCATGACCCTCATGCCAAAGAAAACAATATCCATCCAACGATTTAATATCCATGATAGTAAAATTATGCACTATTAACTTTGTCTTATAATAAAGAGCACTGACATTGGATTTTGGACTCAGTAAAACTGATTGCAAATCCATCGTAAAAACCTTTACATCTTCTTTTGTTTTGTCAACCTCTTTTTGGTTTCTTGCTTCCTCCTTCTTCTTTTGATGTTCTTGGTAAGTACTTCGTCAATATTACTAGTTTTGTAGCCTACACACGTGTCACATTCGTCCTTTTTGGGTGAAAAAAGTGATAGATTGAAATCGTCGAAACTGTTGTTAAAGGCTGCAATGGATAGTGACTTTGAGTCATTTCTCTTGCACCAGTCATTGGTATAAAATCGATGTAATTCCATTTTTGATTGCCAATTTCTTGCAAGGTATAATTTATTTGTGGACTTCCTACAATAATGTGATTCTAGCTTTGGTAGAACCTTAAACAAATTACATAAATGTTCCTTCTGTTCATTGATTTTCGCTGTTCTGGGATTAAATTTTTGGTAGGAATTATCGTGCGTATCGTTGAGGTTATTATCATCTACCAAATCATTTGAAGCATAGTGTGATTTATTTTTTTCAATCAACCAATGTGCAACAGTTCTAGGCGCAATCGCAAGTGTGTTGCAAAACATCGTTTTACAGACTCTTATTTTGGAAGTTGTGTGAAGAAAATAAACATAGGAGAATTCCCTTCTTGATTCGTTCTCTTTTTTTCGGTCCCTAGCTCTTGAAGTACTTTTCTTTTCAATCAGTGTCCTTAGAAATAGTTGTTTCTCCTTCCACAAAAGATTCCAAAACCCTGTGAAAATTTCTGTTCTTTGCCTTTCTGTTATATCATTGCATTTTATCACTGATTTACCATTGCATTTGCACCTAGGTCCTATAGCTTTTGATTTTTTGGAATGTCATAATTCCATTTTTCTTCTTGCCTTTTCTTACCAAAATACTCCTTTCCTTACTGTCTTAATATCTTATTTTTATTTTTCTTCCATTGTTTTTGGTCTACATGACGTCTCTTTTTGCGTGTCCTTGGAAAGTTTTCCATTAAAATGTTGTTTTGGGACTCCTCTAATACCCCATCTTCACTTGATATAGTTTCATTTTCACTGAGTTGATATGACTTATCTGATCTACAACAGGCTTCAATATCTTCCAAAATAGAGTTTTGGGCTTCTTCACCAGGAATTAATTCGTGAACAAAACTCTGCTGAATTTCTGGGTCAACATTAATTTCACCCTGATTATTTAAGCACATATAATTCAAGTTAGCCACTTCTTGTTCAGCTAGGGTGAGTAAATCACCATCAGTAATTAAATTGTCATCAGCTAATAAGTAATCAGTAGATGCTGAGGTGCTGACTAGACTACTATTATCAGTAAACAAAGTGGAGAAATCCTGGTCTTGACCAAAATTATTACAAAATGTTAACACACTATCTGTTTTTACTTCACTTTCGATATTGGCCTTAACTTGAATGTCTTTTCTAGCCAATAAAAGCATTTTAGACGCACGAGATTGGAGATTCATTCTGAAACAGATAGAGTTGATTAAAAAGTATACTTGTATGTACAAATTTTATTATAATTCTGTCTCTTTACTAATTGTACAACAAATCGTATACAAGTTAATCATTTATTATTAATTGATGAATAACCAAAAAATTCCCCAAATAGCCTCATAGCAACCAAGCAAAAACTCACGTGTGTGTTTTTTGAGTCAAATTTTCAAATTTAAAGTTTTATATTATTGTACTATATTATTTTTATTTTATATCATTACTTATATTTATTATTATATTATTGACAAAAAATGTTGCAAGTAATTACTCCGTAAGTACAGAGCAACGAATGGCCTATCTCCAATTAAATATAATACTATAATTGCCTAACTCCAACATGATGTTTTACCTATCAAGACACAAAAAATAAATACTAAAATCATGTTATGTAGACAGTTTGTCTATTAGAAGTAACACTTATCTAAAAAAATTATCGGTACTTACCTAGCTGTTGCTATCATATCACCACCGGGAGTTAGGCAAATTGCATATTGTTGCAGAATAAGCGGGAGATACGACACTTTCGACTGGTATTTTTTAGCGGTAATTTTGACATTTGGTTGTTAGGCGTTTTCGAGTCGACGCGGTTAATTATTCTGAACGTGACCAGCTTAAAATGTCATTTTGGATTAAAAGTGGAGTTAGGCCATTTGCACCTTAAGCCGACGATATATTCTTCAATAATTGCGTTAATGACATGAAGTAAAAAAGAACTGTTGAGAAAAGTTGAAGCTTAAGCTTCACATTAGTCAGTAATCCAATGTTTCTACAGGGTGTTCAGAAATTTAGGTCAAAATGCACCTTTAACAACAAACATTTTCAATTATTTGCAAGATCGACAGTCTATAATGATGACAATGGAATTACCTACAACTTGACAAAAAATTTAACGAAATTGATTCAAAGGTTAAAAAGTTATTTAAAATTTAATTTGAACAAAATCTAGTTTGTCCGGTTAATTTTGCCTGGCAGTGTATTTGCAAACTAGCAGCTATCTACTCAGCAAGTTGGCTTTTTCAATATTATATAGGTTTTTTATGTAATAACCCTGTGGGTATTTTTATTGTACATTTGACATATGATTTCCGATGCGTTTTTGTCTTCTAAACCGGCAGGGGTATTATGTAGAAAACCTTAAAAACGGGAAGAACCGACAAAATGTCGTCATGCAGATTACTTGTAGGTAGTTTCTAGTGGGCAAATAGTTCATTCCACATTTGCTCGCTAAGATCGCTGTGAACGTCACCAAAAGCGTCTATCCATGGAGAAATGACTCGACGACACGACACGCTCAAGCATGCATTGTTGAACCTGATTCCATCAATAAATTTGTTTTCGAGTAAAAATTAACTATTTTATGATTTTTTTAAAACCGTCCATCCTCTCTGCCGCACCCTGTATAAAATTTCGTGGTTGAAGCATCTTGGTTGTTGTAAAACTCTTAAGCTCGTTTCCAAATGATAACATTGCTGTTAATGACTCTGGTATGAAGTAATACAATTTAGGTCCCAGAAAAAAGAGAGATCATTGTGTAATGGTTTTTGATGTGGGTGGAATATACACTGAGCTTTGATTGAATCTTGCTCTGTAGTCATAAATGACACACTTCAAGGGTTTCGAATGCTCAGTATACTAAATGGCATAAAACATCGACCTTTTTGTAATTATTATTCATAACTCCCCCTCCCCCCAAGCAGAAATTCCGTAACGTAGTAGAGAGTAAACATAATAAAGATTGTATAAATATGTTCAACTATATTTCTTAGGTATCTGAATTTGGGAATAATGCATCTCAGTCTCTTCACCATGTACTCTGAATGGACGTTCCACTTCAAGTGTTTGTCTAAAATTACATATTTTTATTTATTCTTTTAAAACATTACGCCTAAGTAATAAAGCACGGAATGTATAATAAACACCGTAGTATTTTATGCTATAATGATAAATGGTATGTTTTTCTTTTGTAATTCATTGCCATAGTTCTTTCCGCATAATATATTCACTATCTTAAGGCGTGGTTGGGGACACACGGAGGGGTGGAGGTGGCCTGTTTAGGGTGGATCTGACCTAGTTTTTTAGTAGATACTGAAGAAACTTATTTTGAGCATTTTCATCCAAATCCCCAATTTCGGCCGACAACCGGCCTTATTAACCCTTCCCCTTTGACCCTTAAACTGTCGTAGTTATCGGTTGTCCGATGAAAAACATTCGTGAGGGCGTGTAATGATAGGCAGATCTCGCAACGAACCAGACACACTCGATTATAGTTTGGACATCGGCCAATTGATGTCGAGGGTATGCATCAAGGCCGATCCCGTGCACGCAGCGTCCAATTCAATATATTACGGTGGAAATAGACGTCGACGGGCATATTGAGCATTGTCGGCATCAGGAGCAATGCTGCGCGGTTCGAATAGCGCTCTGCTGCGTGCACAAACGCACACACACCAACAACTAAGCGGCGATTCGTAATATGCTTGATTAATGACCATCACACCCTAAACAGATAGTAGTTGTCGTAGATATGCCCTTCATTAGTGAGCCCTTCCTGCTCCCGTCTATGACACTACTGGAAATTAATGTGTTGCTGACCATTACAGCCTCTCTCCTGTACTTCACACCATTGGCGTACCTCGGGGGGCTAAGGGTCAAGTGGGTAATTACAATGGCCCACAAGATAACAAGTGGTATGTGCTGCTCCCATTCACATCTATTTTTCCCGCTGGTCACGAATATCTAATCAGAATAATTGTGAGACGCTGAAAAATATAGATCGCGGATTTTGGCATTTATGGTGGATGTGCAGCTCTCAAAGATCCCTGAAGAAAAATACAGAAATTGGTACTTCTGATGTCTAAATTACTTCATATTTCGATATATCGGTGACTATCTCAGGAAATTTGGGTGTTAACACTTTGGCCTCTGCATTGGCCGCCACATGCTGATGCAATATACGTTATGATAGCCATTATTCAAATGGGTGATAGAGGAGGTTAAAAGAAACAAAAAGTTTCATATAACATGGAGTCAAAACGGTACTTTTTTAAAGAAAAACAACACTAAAGTAAAATAAAATCTGACACCGCCGCAATGCCAGACACAAATTACAGTATAGATAAAGATGGAGTTTATTATTTTTAGCGCTTGATCTGGTGTGTGTAAGTTTATTGAACGTATTAAAAAAAATCTACTTATACATAGGGAACACAATTTTGATACATACATTCCCTTTTAAAACCCACACCGCACTTTCTTTCTATTCAAAAAAGGTGTCGTCCTCTACTTTCCACACAAGCTTCATTACGACGAACCCAGTTTCTTCTTACTCTAGGTCCTCGAAGTTGTCCATTTATTATTTCAGCCGCATTAAATTTTTTTTCGCGAAGTTGTGCTTCAGTTGCTATTGGACCAGCCCCATAAACTATCCGTTTAAGTTCTCCCAAATATCACAAATCCATCGGATCGAGGATCAGGAGCATTTCGACCGATCCACCGATTTGGATAATGTTCATTCAAATACTGAATGACGCCTCTAAAAATGTATGGTGGTGCCCCGTCATGAAGAAACCACAAATTCTGTCTCCGTTGTAATGGCATGTTGTCTAAGGTCTGTTCCAAAAGTTCTGGTAGGTCATTGGCTAGAAAGCTAAGGTATCCTTCTCCTGACAACTTTGAGGGTAACTCGAAAGAGCAAATTACCTGATCATCAAGAATACCCCCCAAATATTTATTTTAAAACGTTGTTGGAAATGACCTTCACGAATGCTATGAGGTTTTTTTGTGTCCACGTATGAGTATTATGGAAATTTAATATCCCGTCTCGCGTAAAAGTACATTCGTCCGTCGCTATAATGTTTTTAAAAAAAACCGGATTTTCAATGTTTTTGAGCAGAAACCACTGACAGAATGCTAGTCTGCGAGGATAGTATTCTGGTAACAAGGCCTGCACTCGTTGTGCATGGTAGGGATAAAGCAAAATTTCCCGTAGGATTCTATGGTTTGCTGCCAATATGCTATTGCTCAACACTGATAAAACTCAGTCTATAATACTAAGCTTACGCAGTCATGAGCTGGAATCTGCTCAAACAGTGAAATTGCTAGGCGTTCATATTGACTGTACTCTGACATGGGAGGTGCATACTCGCTGTGTGGTGGATCGTTTGTCCAGAGTTATACAGGGCGACTTTGAAGTTGAGTCATTAATTTTCAGATAATGATTGTAGAAGGAAGATAAACCAAAATATGTGTGTAAAAATTAAAAAAAAATTAAAAAAAAACGTTACCTTGTTTTATAAAATATCCTCCCGACAAGTATTTCAGTGCGGACCTGTATTTGATCGTGCGGTCTTGGAGCACATACCCTTCCGTGTGAGAACTTAAGTCACCTGATTCACGAGCCCTTTGTACTACATTAACAAAGGCACTAGGGGTTGGTTGCACTCGATTGGGAAACCGATCCGCATAAATCCGTGTTGGTGTAGCAGCATTTTGTAAAATAAGAATCATGTCCACAAGTTTAGCATTTTCGTAAACATGTGCCATTTTTTATTTCGTTTGAGCCACGCAGAAACACCACTCACGCGTTACCGACTGACACATCGAATGAATACAACTGAATAAGATAAATGAATAAAACATCGTGATAAGCGTTTCAACTTCTTTCGCTTTTTGTTTCCGTTTATATCCGTTGTTGCCAAACACGAGCACATATTATTATTATTGAGACAGGGCGGTACTCAAACTTCTAAAGGGCTATAACTTTGTTACTTTAATTTTACCACAAAAATGTTAAAGGAAAAAAACATTTCTTTTGATCAGATCTACTCATTGTTAAAATAAATGACTCAACTTCGAAGTCACCCTGTATATCTCATACGTAGTCTAAAGGATAGAGTATCTGATAAAGTTTTATTAACTGCTTATCATGCATATTTCCACTCTAAAATGACATATGCAATTTTGGTCTGGG